AAAAATGTTCGTATACCTTCCGACAGTACGCTCAGGTATAGCCAATAACGGTTCGGAGGAGGGTTTACGCGCCAAACTGTTACGAGACCGCGTCGTGCGTTATCTACGGGATTCGGCCATTTTCTGTGTACTGTAGAAACCGACGAACCCTGCGCATGCACCCTGTATAATTATTACGACATTATATCATGTTACGCAGTGTATTCTATAGGTATAGGTAATACAGCGTCTGTATTATAACGTAATAACGTAACATCAGTATAGAAATAGGTCGAGCGTAATTAAATTTTGATATTTTACCCACTTGACATTTGTGCGGGACGGTAAACCCGCGGAATTTTCGAATGCTCGACGTTAAAAAGTTATAATATTTATAAATATATATACGCGATACACCGCTATCCGCTTCCGTTCGCATTGTGTAATATTACGATTTTTTTTTTTTTTGTATTTTTTGTATTTTTTTGAAATATCTCGTAATAATAACCGCGGTAATCTGACTGTCCGTATAATATATTACACGCGCGCACACTGAAACTGGGAAAAATAAATCATACCGGAAAAAAACGCACGAAAATACACGTCCCCGACGCGTCTAATGTATATAAATACTGCAGGATGTCACGTGATGTCCCTGTGCACTAGTAAATAGACTTTTTATTATTATTATTTTTTTTTTTTTTTATACATAAACGTTATTATAAATTATGAATATACGCGCGTTTAAAACGATTCGGTGAATCAGATTTAAAATGTATTATTATAATATTATGGTGTGCGTTGTAATAAAATACGTATAGGGAAAAATTCGTATTGACCGCCGGGGAGCGCGTCGCCCTGTATATTTCGGAGCGAAACGGTGGCATTAATAGAACCGTAGCTCACCGGGGGGGGGGAGGGACAACGAAAAAACTTTTTCAAAAACTCACAATACATAAATATTGTTATATAATATCATTATAAACGTCTTTTAAAACGCGAAATTTGAAGACAAAAATCAAATATATTTTCGGTTTAACAATAATTGTTTTATCGTATTTATTATCGCCAGATCCGAAACAAGGAGAATTCGTACCCCCTGTCCAACCCCACACAAGTCCACTATAATCGAAGCGATTTCGCTGTATAGGTCATAGGTTGTATATACCGTGGGGTGCAAGGGGTCTGTGTCTGCGAATCGGCTTTGTCGACATATATTTCGTGGACAAATGATGTTTTATAATATTATACGTGTATACAGAGTGTCCCGCGAAGATATACCCATGTCTCCGTGGGTCTGCTTAGCCCCTGAAATACGCGAATGGGAGGAAAAGTAATTTTTCATTAGAGACGCTTCGCTAGGGAGGCGCGGTGCGGTCAACACTCCCAATACGCCACCTAGGACGGGGCCTCGGCTTTGCTTAGGGTTTCGATAACATATTATACGCACACAACGACGACACTGGTTGTGTCGATATGTTACGCCTCACATAAGTGAATTTTTCCAATTCATGAAATGGAAATTTGTTCGTGATTTGGCTAAGCGAGTGTCCCAATTCATAGAATGGGCAAAAAGCGGCCCACGTTATGAACTGCCAGCTCAAATCCTCAGAAATATAATTCAATACGAAACAATTCGACCGAATACGTAATAACAGTAGCAATTTTCATATTTTATAGATATATCGATTAATGGTTTTTTTTTTTTTTTTTGTCGATTAGTGAATTTTTTAATTTATTATTTACTACAAATATTTTGTTCGAAATATAATTTAATAATAATTACACTTTTTGCATTCCGTTCGTATTAAAAATCTATTATGTATAGTAAATTTATAGGAATTCGAAATTTATTAAAAAATATCGTCCAACAATATTATTAATATTATGAACTTGTGTATAGTACGTAGCACCCTAACGGTGAAATTGCCCAATTTGTGAAATTACGTCGCATCTATAATTTTCGTTCATTTTGTGCAGCTGGTTTTCATCTTCGGGGCGTATTTTCCTGTTATCAAACCTAAAAGTGAGAACCGTAGATAAATGAGTAGACCGGGAATGATAGACGTTTAACGCGTAACACGTTGAAGTCAACATGTGTGCCAGAGAGACAGGCAATGTGTGGTTTTTTCATGGATGAAAAAATATTGGCATAATTATTTTTCTATTCGTATTATAAATTCAAAATTATCAATGGATCACTACGGTTTTATTTATTTATCAGCCACTATCAATGAAGAAAACAATATGATTGCACCACAGACACATGAATACTTTACACATTCAGAATCATTCCTGGTTTACTCATTTATATGCCTATGGTAAAAAAATTGTCTATATTTGTACGTTAATACAAGAGGTTTGACGAATACACCCCGATGTTATAAACCAATGGCGCAAAAACATAAACACAACGTAATTTCTCGAGCAATTTCGCCGACGGGCGTAACCGTATTACCGGTGGTATCGCTCAATTGCGAAACGGGCCGAATTCGCCGGGCCGTTTCGCACAGATCGGACGAACCATTCGACCTTTGGGGTATACAGATACAGACATGACTAGGAATGTGTAGTTTCTGAGTGAGACGATTCGAAGAGTCGACTCTTTTTAGTGAGTTGAATGGATTGAATCAGTGTGTCGCTAATCAGTGATTCGGCAATTCGATACAAAATTATTACCAAGTACCGACACCGCAGTACCTAAATGAGCTAAACGAATCATGAGTGAATCGTCACTTGTAGAGTTGAATCAATCAAGTTCAATCACTCGCTACCTGCTTCCAAATTTAAAATTATCGTCTTATCAGTAAGTTCGGTGTAATAACACAGTTGTTCCTAGAGACACGTCCAGCTATCGACAAAAACACAATCACGGTTTATTACATAATCGAATAGATTTGATCGATTCACGTTAAGATTTAGGTTCAAACCGTGGGTTCGATCAGGTTATCGATTTGACTTATCAGCTGAAAATCTGGAGTTGACTCGATAAATCGACTCGTTAAAACGCATCGAATCGAGCGAATTAATTCGTCACAATTCCCGTCTCTAGACGTACGACTGAATAAACGGGCGTGTCGGCTATAGATAGCGCGCGAATTGTTCCCCCGGCAGACTCGGAATAAACGCTAAAACGCTAAACCGACATCGACATCCCGGTGTAAAAAAAAAAAAAAAATAAGTATAAATAACGGTGTACATACGAAACAAAGGAACGGATTTATATACACACAAAAATCCACAAAAGCGCTTAAATACCTAAAAAAAAAAACCCTAAAAAAATCGCTTGAAATTTTTTAAGAAAACGAGACAATGGTAGAGGTGTTTAAAAGTCCCCCGCCCCTCTAATTGTTCTAACATATCACAAATATTTTTTTAACATTACGAAAATGATTATTTTCGCAGTTTTTTTTTTTTTTTTTCAAATAAGTTAATCGTAAGCGTCGTGAAAAAAAAAACAAAAAACACAAGTACTTTGTGTTTGAAAATTTCATTTAACAGGGTTAGATGGAAGAGGGGGGGACTTTAACACCCCTCTGCCGACTTTCGCTTTTTTTTTTTTTTTTTTTAATTTTTTCAAACGGTTTTT